TGCTGTTAGTGCTGTTGAGTGTGCGCCAACTCACAACAACCCTGTTGAGGGGTTCTGAAGAGCAACTGGTGGTGGATTTGAATCACCAAGCTTGCTAAGTTAGCAGTCCAGTGCTTATCTCACAGTAGGACTCCTGATTTTTTATATATGCCCTTAATTACGTTGAGGAATTTCCCTTCTATTTTGTTGAGTGTTTTCATAAGGAACCAGTGTCTGATTTTGTCAAATGCCTTTTCTGCAGCAACTGATACAATCATGTGATTTTTATTTTGTGGTAGATTACATTGTTTTTCTAATACTGAACCATCCCTGCATACTGGTATGAATCCCACTTGATCATGATATTATTTTTTTCATATATTGTTGGACTTAATCAACTAGGATTTTGTTGAGAATTTTTGTATCTATCTGCATGATCTTTTTTAGTGGTATCGCTGCCTGGTTTGGTATCAGAGTTATGCTTGCATCATAAAATGAATTTGGGAGTTTTCCATCCTTTTTCTATATTCTGGAATAGTTTGAGTAGAAATGGTGTCAGTTCTTTGAATGTTTGTTAGAATTTGGGAGTTTTTTAATGACTTGGTTACCTTCTTCTTTTGTTATGCTGTCGCTTTTAGACGCCGCTGAGTCGACTCAGACTCCTAACGATCCTGTATAGGATTTCCAAGGAATGACTTGAGTTTGAACTGCCGACTTGGGTTCAGCTTTTGTCCTACAATGCCACATCAGAACTCTCGTTTGATATAAATGTCTAAGTTTTCCACTTCATTCTGTGTTAGGTCGTGTGTTTGTAGAATTTTTTGTTCATCTAGATTTTCAAATTTGTTGGAGTACAGTTTTAGTATTCTGTTAACCCTTTTCATTTTTGTTGTGTTGTGATATCACCCATACAATATCTTATCTGTGTTATTTCTATCTTCTCTTTTGTTAGGCTTGCCAATTTTATTAATCCTTTTAAAGAACCAACACTTATCTTCCTGATACTTTCTATTGTTTTGTTTTCTATTTCATTTATTTCGGCTCTTCCCTTCACTATTTCTTTCGTTGTGGTGGTAGCAAGGCTTAGTTTGCTGCTCTTTTACTAATTGTTGGAGATGTTGGGCTAAGGTGTTGATTCTGATTCTTAAAAATTAAGGATGTGACTCTTTATTGCTGTTAAAAAGGTTTTGCTATGTTGTGTTTTCATTCTTGTTTGAGTCAAGGAATTTTCTTATTTTACTTTTTATTTGTCCTATTACCCAGAACCTTTTTAAGTAGAGTGTTACTAATTTCCACATTTTGATTTTGTCTCTTGATCTTCTTTTGTTGGTATCTAAGAAGATGCTTGGAGCCCTGGTGTGGCGCAATGGGCTAGTGCGCCAGACTGCAAAGCCGTTTGAACTGCAAGGTTGGTGGTTCAAGCTTACCATCCGCTCCTTGGAAACCCTATACAGGATTGCTGTGGGTCGGAATTGACTCAAGGGCATTTAACAACAACAAGAAGATGCTTGTACTATTTTGATGTTTTAAAATTTACTGAGGTTTGCTTTGTGGCCTAACATAATGGTCTGTTCTGGATATGCTTAGTTGTCGTTGCTGATTTTCTTTCTAGTTCTGTCTTTCATCAAAAGTGGGGTGTTATAATCTTCAATTGTTAAGTGCTGTTGAGTTAGTTGATCAGACTCATAGTGACCCTGTATTAAGGTTATTGACGAGCAGCTGGTGAGTTTGAAATGCTGACCTTTTGATTCAAACCAACCTTGTGATTGTTTATTTTATAGTAGTCTCTTTCTGCAGTTTTATTAAAGTTTGATTTCTGTATTTTGAGGACTTTTCATTGGGGCATATTCATTATGGTTATGCTGGGTTTGCCTTAGAGTCTATTTTATCAGCCATTAAAATTGCCACTCCTATTTATTTTTGATTACTATTAACTTGATATTTTTTCCACCCTTTGATTTTCAGTCTTTTTGTATAATACGTGTCGCTTGTAGATAACATATTGAAGGATCCTGTTTTCTTACCCATTCTATTCCGTCTCTTGACTGGTGCATCCTGTCCATATACATTCACTGTCATTATCAATAGGTGTGAATTGATTGCAGTCACTTTGCTGTATGTTGTGTGGTGCTTCTGCTTTCTTTGTTCCACATGATATTCTTAAGTTCATTTTGTTTGTGTGTTTCCTTCTCATTTGTTATGTTACTGTGTGTACAAAATCTCATTTTCCTTTTTCGAATTTTGATATGAAGGTGTATTAATTTTGAGGATAACCTGTGATTTTCAGTTATTTCCCCCTATTTAAAACAGTCTATTTATCCTGAAACCTACTCACACTTCTTTGCCATTTGGAATTTCTGTACCTATACTATTTCCTCTTTTTGCTTTGTAGATGAGTTCATTATAAATTGATATTTTCCCCTGTTTTCAGTCTGGTAAGTTTGTTTTATTTTAAATACTTCTGTATCGGGATTGAGTTCTGGGTGGTGGTGTCATGTGTGTTAATCTCAGGTTGTTGGTTCTGAGTCCAAAGACCATTCTTTAGTATTTTTTGTAAAGTTGGTCCGGTTATTACAAGTTCCTTTTTTTTTTTTAGCTGGAAATAAGCTCCTTTCAGAATCATATCTGAGGGGCAGCTTTGCTAGGGTATGGTTGACAAGTTTTTCCTTTCAGAGTTGTGTGTGTTATCTCATCTCATGGTTTCTGCTGAGAAATCAGAGTCGAGTCTCACAGGTTCTTTCTAGGCAACTTTATGTTTTTCTGAAGCTGTTCTCAGGATTCTTGTCTTGTCTTTGGTTATGGAAAGTTTGATTCTGATATGTCGTGGTGATAATCTTTTGGGATCTTTCCTGTTTGGGGTTTGTTCATCTTTTTTTTTTTTTAAAGGTTTTATTGTGTGGATTGACTGAAAATTTACAGGGCAGATCATCAGTTTTACATTTGTTCATCTTCTCATCTTTTATAATGTTAGGGAAGTTTTCTTCTAACAGCTGCTGATTTTCTCTGTGCTATTGTCTCTTCCTTTTATGGATGGAACTCCAATCACTCCTAAGCAATTTGTCTTAATGGTCTCCCACAGAACTCCTAGGCTTTCTTTGGCTTTTTAAATGATTTTTTCTGATTGTTCTTCTAGCATACCAATATTGAGAAATTCTCTAATTCAAGCTTCCTTTGCTTCTCATCTGCTCCTTTGCCCTTTCAATGTATTGTCCGTTTCTAAACTTTTAATCTTCACAATTTCTAATTGTAGGGTTTGTTTCAAGAGTTGCATTTATTTTGTTGGTTCTTGTAGTGTTTTCCTGAATTCTTAATTTTTTTTTTTTATGTTCTTGCTTTCCTTGATCTTTTTTTCTAATCCTTTGAAGGTACCCTAAATATCATTTTTCTGAATTGTTTTTCTGTTAGTTCCATCAGCTGCTTCCTTAGAGATGTTTTATGGCTCTGCATCTTGGTCATTTGTTTGAGTCATTGTCTTGTTTCTTTGTGTGAGCTAAAATTGGCTGTTGTCTCCAGGACATTGCAGTGTTGTTGTATTTGTATTGTTGATTGTAACTCTCTTCCTGTGGCTGGAGTTAGAGACTGGAAGTGTGTGCACTGTTCTCCGTTTGTGCACCTCAGTTTAGGGTGAGTTTGGCTTGTGTTAACTGAAATGAAAGGACAAGAACAAAAAGACCCAGTGCAGTTGATCAACCTGGGGAGTAAACTTTGGGGGGGCGCCTTCCACCAGCCTAGGGGCTCATGAGTGGGTTAGGGTGCAGGAGGGCAGGGGCTGTGGCACTCACTTTGTTCAGGGCACTCACTCTTCGACTAGTTTGTGGAGTCCCTTAATGGAGCTGGTTTCACTGTTAGGACCACAAGGCAGCTGGGGGCAGGGTGACTTGTAGAATGGTCATTCTTTGGGTTCTGTAGGTTTGAAGTCCACCTATCCTGAATCCAGACACCAAAGTGGTGAAGCTGGCCCCTAGCTCACACTGGCATGGCTCCCAACCACGTGGCTTTAAACTCATGGATAACAGGGTCTGTGGGGGTGGGAACTGGTCATACCTCTGGTCACCATGGGAATGTGGGGAGAAAGAAGGAAACAAACCTCTTCCATTGCCTGTGTGAACTGCTCTGCCAGGCCACCTCTGTCACCAAAGCTGCTCACAAAATTCCAAGATGGTAGCACTGTGCCTGGCTGATGCTCACCAGTCTCCCTCTCCTCCCATATCTGCTCAGCTCCTCCTCCCAGAAGCACTCAATCCATGTCTCTTAACATTTCTTCTGAAGTTTAAGGTTCCAGGATTTTTCTCTGTGTCTGTTTGGTTTGGTTTCTTCTATCTCTGGAGTCCTGGTGTGGCGCTGTGGATTAATGTGCCAGACTGCAAAGACGTTTGAACTGCAAAGCCGGTGGTTCAAGCTCACCAGCTGCTCCTTGGAAAACCTATACAGGGTCGCTATGGGTCAGAACCGACTTGACGGCACTTCACATCATCTGTTGTAGAGGGTCCGTGTAGTGCATCCGCCTAGTCCGCCATCTTGCCAGCAGTTTTCTAAGCCTGCTCTTTTTATTTTGAGTTTTATTCTACATTTTCTTCCACCCTATCCATGAACTTGTAACGTGACCCCTGTTGGAGCACTTGGTAATGGTTGTTGTTGTTGTTATGTGCCGTTGAGTCGGTTCCGACCCATAGCGACCCTGTACAGGGTTTCCGAGGGTGTAAATCTTTACGGGAGTAGAAAGCCTGATCTTTCTCCCGCGGAGCAGCTGGTAGTTTCGAACCACTGACCTTAAGGTTCGCAGCCCGATTCGTAACCACTACGCTACCAGAGCCTTTTATTTTTGTTGCAGTTCTTGTCTGAGCGAGATGCTCAGTGCAGGAGACTTAGAACCTCCAGTTAACACCAGTGCTATTCCACAGGGTTATTCTGCATGGACAAGTGTGTGTTAGTTGATTCAGTGGTTAATACTGGGTACTTGGGAAGATGTAGGTGGTGATTGGTTGTAGGGATGGTAATGTGTACTTACTTGTAAATTTCAGAGAAGTTGGAGGAGCTGAGGGACCAGGAACGGAAGGAAGAAACTTTTACCCCCATGCCTAGCCCGTACTACATGGAGCTCACCAAACTCTTGTTGAATCAGTAAGTGCCTTCCAGCACGGGACTCCCCCACACCCCCTTACAGGTCTACAGGCTCTTCCCATACTCCCTACTGGCACCTGATAGCAAGGCTTGGCCACTGTCCCCACCTAAAGTAGTAGTCTCTTGTACTTCTATGCTGTCCCCTTGTCTTCTGTGGCTCTGCCTCTTACATTGGCCGCTGAGCTGTAGGCACTGGGAAAGCCCGCTTGTGGATAGTGCTCTGGGGAGCCCCTTCACTTGTCTATCTGCCTCCACTTAGAGGGGCCCCAGCAGCCCATGTCCACTTCCCACCCTGTGCATGCCACTCTGCACCTGGTGTCGGGAGAACTCAGTTGAGGGGCAGGCCTGGGGCTGGGGAGCTCCTGGAGCAGCTGCTCCCTGAGGGCCTACAGAGTGTTTAGGTCAGACAGGACTGGGAATTTGGATACCAAGCGTGCATTTTGTCCTGGAGTTGGTGACCTACTCCAAAAGCTAGGACCCCAACCTGCACCACATGCTCCAGGGCCTGGTGGAGACCTTTCATGTGGGCACGAGTTGTGGGGTCAAGCGGAGCAGTCCACGATTCAGTGCTGTTCAGAGTGAGTCACGGGGCTTGAGAAGCACCCATGATCCTTAGGGACTCTGTGTGAAGGGGAAGGGCAGTGAGCATGGCAGCATGGCAGGGGCAGGCTGTGTGAAGGTGAGGGGGTCTGTGGAAGCCAAAGACCCTCTTGCCTGTCAGTGATGGTTGAAGCATGTCGTGCGGGTAGGGCTGCGGAGGCCACGGGGACGAGCTGGACAGTTTGGCTTGAGCAGCAGACTAGCCTGCTCTGTTCTCGTTTCCAGTTCAGTACAGAGCATCAGCTTCCAGCACAAACCTTGCTTTGTGATGCGTCTGACTGAGTGCTCTAATCCCACCTTTGTTCTGCTGTGACAAGGGTCTGGGCTCCTGTGTTCTTTAGCCTGCTGTGCAGGACCTGCCTACTGTGTGGGGACTGAGTTAGCTCCTCCTGGGGTGCCCAGTGTGTTGGACAGTGTTTGAGGGAATCTGATCACAGGTGGCCCAGAAGGCCCCTCTTGTACTCAGTTTTGCTGTGAGGTGTGCTTGGGTGGAGCTCACTGGCACTTTGAGCTGTCCTTTGGGCACCTGTGAGGAGAAAGCTGGTGCAGCATGGAGCTGTGAGCCCCTGTAGATAATGAACCAGCCCCTGACACCCACTCCTTTCTTGGGGGACATTACACAGCAAGGTGGCTCAGTTGTTCTGAGCCAGGAGTGTAAAGCAGGAAGCTTGTTCTCAGGCAGGTGGTCTCAGGTAGACCTGAGTCCTTGTACAGCAGCCTGCAGTGGGCTCTTGAGTGTAACAGCAGACCCAGCTGCTAGAAATCCTTACATGTTGAGAATAAAGCAGGACACTTTTGAGTTTTTCACCAGAAAAATAGCATTTCTTCAGCACTTCTGACTGCAGCTCTGCTTTACCGAGTGTGACTTGTCTCCTTCACCTTTTGCTTCCTTTTTAGTGCCTCAGATAACATCCCTAAAGCAGACGAGATCCGCACCCTGATCAAGGATACGTGGGACACTCGCCTAGCAAAGCTCCGGGTCTCTGCCGATAGCTTTGTGAGGCAGCAGGAGGCGCACGCCAGGGTACACAGCAGGCTTTGGCTTTTGTTTCAGATAATGTTTAACTGTAGAAGAAACAGGCCAACCTTCTCAGGGTGGCTGTACTATTTACAATGATTTCATTTCTAATTAGTACCTTTTCCTCAAACTCAGCAGTTCTGCTCTCATTTTCCAGCTGGACAACCTGACTTTGATGGAGATCAGCACGAGTGGGGCGTTCCTCACCCGGTCGCTTGACCGCATGTACAAGCTCCGAACCAGCCTCCAGCCCTTGGAAAGCGGCACCCAGTCCCAGGACTTCTAGAACGTGAGCCGGTTAGTACAGGCACAGTGGCAGGGGCCATCCAGTGCTTCCAGAAACTATGAGAAAAGTAGTTCTGACTGTATAAAACACATGTCATGCAGTGGCCTTGCGACACCAATCAGAAGCCCTCCAAACTTCGCTCCTTGGAGCATTCTTCAGTTCCACATCTGTCTCTAGAAGCCAGCTCTCCTTTCTTTGCACAAAATGGACACACACTGGCTTTTGAAAGATACACCCTAGATGTGGCAAGTGGCCTAGGTTGCTCCGAGAGAGCTGGCAGCTGGGGGAGCTAGGGTACTGTGTTTGAGAAGTCAAGGCCCGGCCTCCAATAAAAAGGGCATTGACTTAAACCTGTGTAAGTGGGCTTCCTGTCCCGTGTTGCTAACTAGCAAGTCCCCATGCCGACAAACCACACAGGTGGGCCTTTGGGGCTCCTTCTACAGAGGGAGAAGTGTTGATAGGATTGCGCTTGCTGTGGATAGGTGGCAATGGCGTAAATGTGGGCTCTTTCTTAATGGTTCCAGCTAGAATCAGTATATATGAACTGGTCGGAGTCCTGGTGTGGTGCTGTAGGATGAGCACTGGACTGAAAAGTCAGTTTGAACCGCAAGGCTGGCAGTTCAAACTCACCAGCTGTTCCTTGGAAACCCCATACAGGGTTTCTGTGAGTTAGAACTGACTAGACAGCACTTAACACCCGTGAGATGGGGGAGAGGCTGTCCGTGGAGTCGTGCCCAGAGAAGACTCTGGTTGGCAAGGGAAACCTATTTTCAGGTGACTGCTTACCCATCTTCCAGGGACTTAGGATCCTTAAGATGGAATCTGGGGCTCGGTCCCATCCTCAGTCTGGTCGGCCGCCTATTCTGAGCCACTCTGGCCCCTCACTCAACATTACTGTGATAAAAACATTTTCCTCTTTTTTTCATATGATTTAGGAAGATTTTATTTTTTTTTGGATGTTGTCAGAAATTACAGCAATATATTCATAAATACCTAATTACTACATTCAACAAATATTACAATACAATGAATTTCAAACAAGTACACTTAGAACAGGTTTAATTTCACAGCATCTAGACTGCCCCTGTGTGGCTGAGGCATGGTGCTCCTCCCTCCCAGGTACTGGTTTACTGGTCTAGCAGGTAAGCACAGGGCACAGAGACAGGGAGTTGTCCCAGTGATGGTCTCATCTCGTGAGGGCTCCCAGGGACTCTGCCTTACCCCCCCCCCCCCCATCTGAGCCCCTATCTGAGATTGGCTGCATGGTGAGCATCTGGAGGGAAACAGTTCTACACCGCTAGCAGAGAAGTGGGCTCCCTTTAATACTCTCAGGAATTCCTTAATATCGACTATACGAGAATGCTAACTGCCAGTTTGAAGTGTGCTATATTTCCTTTAAGGGTAGAGTGTTGGTCATGGGCACTTTGTCTGAGACATGATGGGGTCATACACACACAGCTTGCTTTCCAAGGGTCAGTCAGCTTGTGTAGCACCGAGTGTTGGGGACAGCTCTGCTTTGTTTCTACTAGGTTCATCGTGGAACCTTGTGACTCACTCAGCATTAGCTGGTATCACTCAGGGTTTAGGACAAGTGGCTGCTGGTTGGTAATCTAGGAAGACTCCTCAAACAGGTCCTCATGCAAAAATACCGAGACCCTGGGATCAGTCTCAGAGCAAATGCAACTGAACTCTGGATTCAGAAAGCACATGCTTGCTTGTGTCCTCACTCTCTAGCATCACCTGCCCGGAAGCACTGAAAGGACTGTGGGTGTAGTGTTGATGCCCACGATCTTGCCTTTGGCCACCTTCCTGGGCTGCATTTCTGTTGTGATTGTCGCTATCTCTAGAGGAGCGCCCCACCGAGGTGGAGGGATATTGTCCAGTGGCACAGGTGCCCCTTTTCGGAATGGGGAACCCCTACCTTTGTTCCCATGAGCTCCCTTGGGTGGCTCGGCTATACTCTGAAGTCATTAGATGTACATTCCCCCTTTATTCCAGAGCAGCCAAGACTCGTTCTGGGGTGCAGGTGGGGGGCTGAGTGACGTGCAAAGATGTAAGCAGCAAGCCGATTTTAGACAAGGAACTCGGGTGTTTTGCCACAGGGGTTGTCCCCACTTGGGGTGCACGCCCCCCTCAGTGTCTCTTGCAGGAGAGATGACCCTGCACAGCCTTAATGCTCTTAAGTCGGAGCGGTGGGAAGGAGGAGGGTGCTGGCCGACTGCTGACAATACTGGCGGCACTTTTTGTCTGAGTTTGCTAATAACTGGAAGATTCTTGGCAGACAGACAAAGCAAACTGTGGGAACAGATAAAGCAACAGAATGCCATCTGCCAGCAAGCTGTTCTGCACAGCAGAGGTCTAGGCCGAGGGCCACGCCACAGAGCGCCGTGAGTACCCTCACCTGACCCACCATTGCTGCTCCTGGGCCTGTCACCCTAAGTTCAAGAGGAGTGGAGGGTGAGCTCAGAAACGCTCACCCCACGTGAGGCTCTTAAAAAAGTGGTGCCTCTACATCAGACCCTACCTTCCCGATACTGACTGCTCAGCTCTAAGGCGTGACGAGAGCCCCGCATTGGGCGTGAGTGAGCACACCGGGCCCAGCCTGTTCCCGCCACCAGGGGAAAGGGGGGGAGTAACCATGGCTTTTCCACATCACCTGGTGCGAGTCAAAGTACAAGTGAGGATAAAGCTCTACAAACACTCCAATGTCCTGACACCAAAAGCAAGGTGGCTGGATTTCCCCCCCCCTTCTTTTTCTTCCCTTTTACCCAGAAAAACAAAAATAAAAATAACAAAAAGCCCCAAACAGAAGGAAAACAGACAAACAGAAATCCCCCAAACCACATATTAAAATGGCAGGCTTTTTATAACAATAATTAAAGTAATAAAAACATACAAAACTTTGTTTTAATATATACACAGTACAAGGCTGAAGCACCTTTGACTTTTGTATGAAAACCCCACCTCGGGCAGCAACCATTGGTGGGTGTGGTATTCGTATACACAGAGCTCTGTACATCCCCACACCCCCCCCCCCAGTAACAAAAAGGTACCTTCTGCCTAGAGTCGCTTCCCAGCACTTCAGGGCCGAGGCTGTTCCAATGAGCAGTCTTTGGGTGAGTCTGGAAGTCCTGTCCGTGTGTGTGCTCCAAGATCTGGTGCTCTCAAGAAAATCTTGCAGAAAAGGAACTGAAACCAATAAGCCCTTACAAGGCACCCACCCTTCCTTTTTAGCTGGAGCAAACCCGGTTCTTCAGGCTGAGCAGGCCGGAGACACAAGGAGCTGTCGTGTGGACCACTCACACACACCCGGGGGCTGGCAAGTAGGAAGGGTTTAGTGTTGGTAATGGGGCCTTCACTTTCAGATGGAAAACGATGTGGGGAAGAACGAACAGAAACGACACTGGCTGCGTGCTGCTGAGGTGACTCAGGGGTGTGGAAGGCAGGTGAGCTCTCCTTGCTCGAGTCTGGAATCTTGCTTCATGCATGGCACATTCTCATTAAGCTTCAAACCTCCCAGTGAAAAATATTAAATATTCAAGGTAATAAAATAGATATGATTTCTATACTATAGGTTCAGCCGAGTGCAAGGGAACCGTCACCTAGGGTATCCCTTAAAGTAGCCCCTGGGCCAGTGCAGCGCAGGCAAGGCAAGGCACTTCCGTAAGTGGTCCAGTTCTGCCTGGAGGCGCTCCCGCTCCGAAACCATCTTCTGTTTCTGGCTCCTCAGCTCCTACAGAGAGACACGGAGTCAGAACCAGAGGAAATGTGAGCTGCCATCCCCCCAACACCCTCTCATAACCTGCTGGGTCTCATAACCCGTTGTCTCCTAGATCCCTTGGGCCTCGGCACTGGGGTTTCAGCCCTGAAGACCCTCCCCTCCCACCTGCCTCAGCACACCACTGGAGGAGTGGAAAGGGGGTCTGGTCTGCAGGGACTCACCACCATGCTGTGGGAGAGCTGCTCGGCTGTGAGGCTGAGGCTGTAGTGCTGAGCCTCCAGCCGCCGGCACTGAGTCTGCAGCACCTGGCGCTCCAACGTTTGCTCTGAAAAGACACAGTACCCGGGCTTCAGCGCTTGGCGGCTGTCCTGCCGTTCCCACCACCTGTGCACTACAGGAAGCCGCCCAGGGTCAAGGTCTGGTCCATACACTTGTTAAAAAAGGAAGGTTAGAAACAAAGTTACTGGATCAAGGCCAGAGTGAGACTTTGAACACGCAACACACGGAAAGAGTTCAATACAACCATAAGCCCCACCAAGAAAAATGGGTAAAGGCACAGATAGTCATGGAGATAAAACAGAGTGTAACTAAGACAGCAAAATCCCTGGAACAACAGGTACTGGACCATGTGAAGCCAGCACTACTGAAGCCCCCCCATCTCTCCATGGACTGTGTGTTTCAGATCCCAGCAGGGTCATCACCCATGGTGGACAGGTTTCAGAAGGACTTTCAGACTAAGGCAGACTGAAGAAAGGCCTGGTAATCTTAAGAAAATCAGCCAATGGAAACAAGAGCTAGAAGAGGAACACCAGGGTCGGAAAGCATTCAGAAAGCAGCCAGGCCTCAGCCACAGACTGGAACACAAGGCCGCTGTTGGTCAGGTCTGACCTGCAGCGATCATGTACAGTGTTTCCCAGGAGCAGCTGGTGAGTTTGAACCGTCGACCTTGTGGTCCAGTACATATCCTACACAACACCATACCTGTTGAAATAGCCAAGTCACATCTCAGAAGAACAGCAGTAAAAAATGAATAGATTCTGTCACCTCTCTGTGCTCGTTTCACAAACAAGACAAGAACCTCTGCAACACAGCGTGACACATGAAAGAACTAAAGTCTGTATTTACAGGTGGTTTGGTTAGGATTAGCTATAGGAACAAGGAACGCGTACACAAACCATTAAAATTAAAGAGCAACACAAGAAAAAGCATTCCTTTTAGGAAAAAACGGCTATGTTTTTATACTTGGTAAAGTTGAAGAGTCAACGACAAAGAGAAAAGACCACCAACAGGATGGAGGGGCACAGTGGCCGGAGCAATGGGCTCATCAACAACTGAGGACGGTGCAGGCCCAGCGGGGGTCCATTCTGTGGTGCACAAGTAACAAGTCAAAAAAACGCAACCAGCTTTCACATGATGATGACCACCACACAACCAAAAGTGAATTTTGACGTACCTAACTCAAAATCCAGTAAAGCTTATAGCAAGAACCATTGGCTGATGACATTAACATTGTTGATTCCCCTCAAATCTGCATGTAACGTGAAGTCCCTATTTGCTGGAACTTATGGGAAAGATTTCCCTAACAGACTAGGAAAAGATGGTTGGCACTTGCTCACTCAATACGGCACATGGGCGCCATTCCAGGACCCCTAGTACCATGGTTTCACACCAGGCCCATGGGGCGTGCATTCTGAGTTGCTGACAAGAGCTCCACTCTGGGAAGAGCTCTGGAGTCTTCTGCCTGCAGGCTCAGGATTGCCCTGCGGAGAGCCAGATGTTGTCTTTTCTGACAGTGCCTGCACTTACCCTCAGACAAAGTTCCCCAGGACAGCCTCTCCCGCCCTGTTTCTTCGTTTTTACCTTCTATATGTTCCTGGTAAGCTTCAAAGATGGCCTCGATCCCCTGCCACTTCCGTCTGGGGGCTTCCTCGTCTTCTTCATCCTCCTCCTCCTCGTCGTCATCCTCCGAGTCCTGGTCCATCTCCATTTCTGAGGCGAGGGGACCTTTCCTCCCAGGCTGGGGATCCAGTTGACCATTGTGCTGTGGCCGGGGGAGTCTGCTGGAGGACTGCAGCTCGGGAATGTTGTAGTGGACGGAGGCATCCACCTTGTGGTTCTGTTCAGCCGACAGCACGGCCGTGTGCCCTGTGGAAAGAAGGGAGTTGGGCTCAGCCCCAGGTGCCCTGTGGGCAGAAAAGGGCCGGCCAGCTTATTCTCGCCCAGTGCCACAGGTCTCCTGGCAGGCCTGCCTGTGTGCTACTGTGTCCAGGGAGCAACATTCAAGACACCCAGTGGGGAGGTCAAGCTTCAGACAGTCACAATGCTGTCTTGTTGCAGGTGTTTTGTGGCAACTTGGGTGATGCCCAGTGTGAAAAGGCCGACCACGGGGCATGCCCGAGACTGGCAGACCCTCTGCACAATAGCCCTGTTCAGGCCAGGCACAGCTTCTTTAAACTCCCGCTCACCTTGGTCAAGGATGATGATAGGAAATAGGAGAAAAAGAGAAGGTTGTAGGGTGTGCTCCTCAGCGAGACGTGTCTGCAAGCACGTCTCCTGTTTCTACAGGGTCTTACAGCTGCTCTTGCTGCTCCTTCAGAGAATGACCAAGCACCTCTTCTGGTTTTGAGCTGCAGGAGTCACTGCCATAGCCACACTTTAAACCATGCTTGTCAGGCCTTGAGGTGCCCTTGCCTGATTTACCTCAGAGGGGACAATGTGCCTTTGCTTTCACTGGGTGCCCGGTGGGCTAAGTGCCCCCAAGCTGTGGCCTTAACACCACGTGGCTCTCAACTCAGATGGCCCCGTCCGCTCAGTGCTCTGGAGCTAGGGGTCCAGACGGCTGCAATGGTAGCACCTGGGCGCTGTTAGAGACAGAGCCCACCCCCAGGCTGAAGCAGACCCGGTGACTCAACTGCACAGGGTTTGCGTGTATGAGTGTGTGTGTATGGAGGGGGCGGGCTGCCATTCATTACCTTTGTGCTTCTGCAGGGCCTTCTGAGTCGACTGCAGCACCGATTCGTGGAACTGGTGTGCAAACTCCTCGGCCAGGAAGGGCTCCCAGGGCTTGCTCTTGCCATTGATGCTGTGGGACAGTGGTACGGGCACGTCCTTAGCTGCAGGGCCCCGGATGCAGTGCAGTAGATTCAGTCCCTTCCTGCCTGCAGGCGCCTCACTGGGCCTGGCCTTCTCGCTACAGGCAGGAGCTGGCTCCATGGCCTTTGGGATGTCAGTCAGGGACACAGTGATGCCAACGGGCTTGTCTGTGTTCAGGGAGGCCTGCTGTGCGGCTGGTTCTTCTAAAACGGAAAACGAGGAACAGTATTAAGAGCCACAGACTCACAGACCAAGTCCCGATCACACAGATGCGGACCACCAGAGCAGAGACCTGGGGAGAACCCCAGAATAAATCCAAGACTCAGGCTGTTTCATTACAGGTTCACGAGCGTTATCTATGGTTGTGCTCAGGAGCAAGGCCACCTGGAGAGGTGCTGAGGGAGGGGCCGGGAAGAAAGAGGATCTGAGGGAAAAAGCAAGTTGCCGACTTGTGACCACCACAGAGGGCAGACGCTCCGAGTCGAGTGGACAAGGAGACCCAGCCGTGAAGAGGCAGACTGCCGCAGGCGTGGAGAGAGGTGTGCAAACAGCTACCCAGGGTTCCAGGAGGTACCGTGAGCGAGCCCAAGACGTGGAGGACAGACAGGAGAGGAGTAACCTAGACGGAAGCCGTGGACAGTCTTCATTCACGCTGCGGAAACCCGCACAGTCCACAAGAGGGCGCAAGAAAGAGTGTCCAGGACGAAGACGCGGCTTTGCGTCTTACCGCTAGGAGAGGCAGGACTGTCCCTCGGTGTGCGCGTCAGGGCGCCTGCCCCTGCAGTTGACAGCGTCTTCTGCTTCATGGCACGGAGCATTTCAACAAGCCTCTCAGTGTCTGCGAGGAAAGCAGCCCGTGATTAACGAGGCTGAGAGGCTGTGCCCAGAGAAAGGCCAGCGCCACCCGCTTTGCAGTCAGGAGCCTTCAGTGTCCACCACCAGACTCGTCCCACAGTCGCTGTGCACGCGGCTACTAGGGCCGCGGGCCACCTCTGAAGTCATTGTGATTGAAGAGAGAGGAGTTGGAGTGAAGCAGGACGAACCCAGGCTGCCTCAGGAAACATGGCTGCGCCGGCGTGTTCTCTCACCCCAGTGACCACTGCTGACAAACCTATCACTACCTCAGGGAGGCCCAGAGCAGAGCCCACAGGGAAGGAACTGGGCTGTTTGACTGTAAAGCTCCAGGTTCAATGCCAGGTGACTTGCTGCTCCAAGTCAGCTACTGAAGTCTTAGGAAGCCAGCTCGAGTGACACATGCACACACGTGGGAGTCGGTGCCAGCGCAGCCTGTTGAGCCCTGGGGGCACAGTTCCATGCTGCTTCCAGAACGGTAACAGCCCTAGGAACTAGGGGCAATTCTACTCTGTCCTGTGGGGTTTGGCTGAGGAGAGCAGCTTAAAAAGAAAAAGCACAACATACAGACGCAGGACCAGCCACCCACCACGCTCCCGGCATACAACACACCAGAGGCACGGAGCCCCTATCTTCCCACATAGCAGGACTGACGTGTCGCAGACAACAGGGACAGGCCTGGTCTCACCTTTTCTCTTCTCGGCGCTGATGTGTGTCAGGTTGAAGATGGTCAGGAAGCGCTTCTTCTCCTCGAAGTTGGGGCTGCTGTTCATGTCATCGGGGCTGTAGCGGGTAGACAGCGCCAAGCGCGGGGAGGGGGTCTGCCTGCCCTTGCTCTGCACCGTTGGGGGTGACGGGCTCCTCTCGCGCAGCATCCGCCGCCGCTTCCGCCTCTTCTGCAGGAGCAGCTCCTCCTTCTGCTGTCGGGTGGTCAGGCCAAAGAGCTGCAAAAACTCCAGCTTCTGGAGGGGGAGAGGACAGGTCAGCACCACCACCAACAGCTGCCGCCTTCTCCCCACCAGCTCTGGGGGCCACGGACCTCAGAGGAAGTGTCCAGCTTCAGGGGTGGCTGCTCTGCTACGCAGCGCAGGTGGGTCCTGACCTCCTCCTCATCACTTTCGTCATAGGAGTCATCCAGGTCGTAGTAGTACCCTGGTGGTAGGAACAGCCTGCTCAGACTTGCTCCCCACCCCACACCCAGTCAGGCCTTTCCGTCTGCTGGGGGTCTGCACCTGCTTCTCCCTGGCCACTCTGCCCCATCATACTGTACAATGAAGGTTTAAGGCCCCTTACTGGCCCACGCTCATCTCATATCGGCAGTCTGTCTGCAGGAATATACTTGGAGACGCTTTGATTCCCGGCCACCCTCCCCAGGGCACTGACCTTTCTCCTGGGCCTCGCGCCGCCTACGTTCTTCCAGGTCCAGCTTGCTGACCAGGCGACGGCGTTGCTGTAGCAGCTCATCGTAGATGTAGGCTGGGTCGGGGCCTCGTTGTGCTGGAGGCCGCCCGCCCAGTTCCCCAAAGGCAGCTGCCTGGCCCAGAGAAGCCCTCGGCTGGCTCAAGAGGGTCTGAGTGGACTTCTCGAGCTCAGCAAGGAAGGGCCCGGGCCCATGAGGGAAGGTGGGGTGCTCAAGGCCCCCCACCTCCCGTGCTGGTGGCTGGAACTTGTCCAGGGGGGTGGCCTCGCGCTTGCGGGGCCCTTCCTCAGCCTTCTCGGTACAGTAGACACGTTCCACTTTTACCAGTGGCACTGCGGCCTGGCGGGCCGGCTCGAATGGGCCACTGTGGCTGTGCAAAGGGTGGCTGTCCGGGGCGCGCCGGGGCTCTAGGGTACTGTCCATCAGGGCAACGGGGTTCCAGAGAGCCGTGGGCACCGTGTGGTGCTGAGGCTTGGGCGAAATGAGGGGCGGGGGCCCACCAAAGTGCTGTGGGGGGTCTCGGCTGCTGGTCTCATGACGGTTTGATCCTGGCCTGGAAGTGAGAAGAGTGTATCACGGGTTCAGGTTTGCGGAGACCCCTTCTCTAGCTTGAGGAGTGGGGCGACACCTCAGGTGTGCAGTCTGCTGACTCTTTTCATGGAAGCAGGTCAGGATCTGATCACTAATGTCTTGAGTCTGGCCCTTACTACAGCTCACCTGTGCTGCTTCCCAGGGCTCACAGGAACCTCAGAAGGACAGACCTGCACCCCTTACCCCCAGCAATCCCCCCCATGCGGTAGTTCCAGGCCTGCCTGACGCAGCACTAATGGCTTCCTCAGTGCCCCGGGAACTAGGAGCACTGTGTTCTCAAATACGTGACCATATTAAGGATCTGAGGGGACAGGGAAAGCCAGCATCACAGAACCTTGGGGTCCACAGTGAACAATAGGGAAAGCCTGCCCAGAAAACTGCTTAAGTAAACTTTAGCCAAAGCAAGCTTGTGAGGAGAACACGGAGCAAGCACTAAGTGCTTGTCTAGCTCTGAGTACACAGTCTGCCGCCTGTCAGCACTTCAAGTTCATGTCAGTGAGAACAGTGAGGGGGCAGTGAGCTTCACCCCAATACCCGGGACTGAGCCCCAGGGGCAGCACTTCTTCCATGAGGTGCACCCCTCACCATTCCTCCACCCCAGACCAGAAATGTGCCCGCTGGCGACCCTAGTCAGAACAGCTGGGGGCCACAGATGGGAAAATGGCCATCTTCTTATTATGGAAGCAATAGAGAGCCCATTTGCTATTTGAATCGGAATCAAAGGAAGTTCTGTGTCAGGAGGCAGAGGCTGACCAGGACCAGTAAGCCCTCCGTGGTCACGCTCTGCAGGGAGCCCTGTGTGCTGGTGTGCTCCGTGCTTACAACAGGGAGGTCAGTCGCAGGTGCTCACCTGGTATTCTCGGGCCGGTGCTCCCCCTCCACTGGCACTGGTGGGCGGCCTATGTCTAGGTGCTGCTCTAGCACCTGCTGCCGGAACTCCGACACCTGGGACTGGCGGTCCTCCTTCTCCTGCCGCAGTCGCCGCTGACGTGCCAGCCACTTCTCCTCCTCGTTGGTGCGCTGGATGAGCAGGGCTGCGGCTGCACTGCTGCTGGGCAGTGCCTGGAAGACCCCATGGCTAGAGATGAGGCTGGGCACACTGGGGTGCGGTGCTGGCGTGGGGTGAAGGGGGTGCGGCACGGGCTTGGGCACCTGCAGACCCGTCTCCTTGAGCTTCTCTGAGGGGAGAGAGACACTTGGTTCCACTTGGTATAAGACACAACAGAGGTGAGACAGTTGCTCGTAGCTGAGCCCATTTGCCCTGCGCCCCCCCCCCAAATATATCATGTTTGGTATGATGGACGGTCAGAGGAAAAGAGGAACACCCCCCCCCCCCCCAACGCGGGAGGAGGTGGGCGCACACCTGTGCGTGTCGGGGTCAGCTGCTCCGCGGGCTTGGCCCGCTCGTCTGAGGTAAGGCCCCGTAGTGCATGCAGCTCAGCCCCTGGCAGGAAGGCCGGCTCCAGCGCCTTGGCGGCCAGCAGCTCCTTCTCACGGGCCCGCTGCTCCCGCTGACGCTCCAGCTCCCGTTCACGCTCCCTTTCCCGCTCGCGCTCCAGCTCCTTCTCCCGTTCCCGTTCCTTCTCCCGTTCCCGTTCTTTCTCACGCTCCCGGTCAGCCTCCCGCTCCCGCCGCAGCTCCTCATCCATCTGCAGCCTGGTGGTGAGGTGGGGGTCTCAGGGGGACTCTAAGCAGCAGGGACACACAACCCCCCAAGCCCCGCTTCATGACCGAAGGCTCACCTCTCTGCGCTGAGGCTGGACAGTCGGTCGGAGTGCAGTGCGGCCAAGGATGAGTGGGCAAGCTCAGGTGGGTAGCGGACGCCAGACAGGTGCAGGTGCATGGCCGAGGGGTGCAGCGGGGGCAGGGAGCCAGGTGCAGGCAGCGGGTAGAAGGGGGACCTCAGGGCAGACAGGCAGTAGGAATCGTCCATCCTGTGACGAACACAGCAGTCTACAGTGTGACACGCTGACAGGCACCCAGAATCTGGCTCGTGCCCCACCACAGGACAAGGGAACCCCCATCCAACAGATGGTCTGTGGTCAGTGGTCCCACACCAGAGAGGACGGGCCCAGTGAGGAGGCGCCTCCCACCACAGGGGCTGAGGGGGCCACACTGGGTACAGGTGTGAGGTTGAGGCCAACTCACCTGAAGGCAGGGTGTGGGAAGGGGTGTGGGGCCAGGTAGCTGGGGTGGTAGTAGGCGGCGGCAGTGGCGGGGTCCAGGCCGAGTGGGGGCAGGGAGGACATGCGGAGGTCGTCGGCAGTGTGGTAGGGCCGGAAGCTCCTTAGGTAGTCCTCAGTCACTGTGCTGGGGGGCACCACATGGTGCACAGGCCGCTGCAGGCTGGGGGTGGGATGCAGGCACAACAGTGACCTCACTGTCCCCCTTTGCAGTGACACACCTCGGGGTCAGGTCTGGGGAAGGACCCTGGTCCAGAGGCAGGGCTGGGTGGTGGTGGTCAGCTGGTGGAGTGTGGGGTTAGGTAACGTCACTGGCCCACTTACTTGAGTGGCGGGAAGCGGGAGTCCTGCACGACTGAGCTGGGGGGGACCCCAAAAGGGTAGGGGGTGCTGAGCAGGTGGGAAGGAATGGCCGGGCCACTCGCCTTCTCCTGGGGCAGCGGGGGCTCCACAATAAGGCGATCCCGGCTGCTGCTGCCCCGAGAGCCAGCGTCCTGCAGGGACAGGGAGGAAGTGGTGAGTCTGGGGCTCAGGCCTGGCACAGGGTTCCCCAGAAGGGTCTAGATGTAAGGATTTTCTCTTCAGGGATTCTAGGGCCCAGGATGTGAAGGATCCAGGGTCAAGGGCCCAAGCCTGACCCCAGGCATCCTGCCAGCCAGCACCCTGGCTGACCCACAAAGGTGCTGCTCTGGGCTCTACAAGCGGGTCTGCTTGCTCCCAGCCACTGTCTGAGTCTGGCTGGTGACCCCTTCCCCACCCTGGACAAACAGCATATAAGGCAGGTGTCACTAGGGTCACCAGGATAGGTCAATCAAGGCAAGAGAGGAGGCAGCCCCATTAGCTCATGTGGAGGATACTACACAGTCTGTGTGAGTGGCCACAGGTCAGAGGGCACCTTCAAGGAGGGAAGCAAATGGTGGAAAAGGAGCCGAGTAGCAAGGTCTGGGTAGGATTAGTGACAGATGCCACCAGGGCATGGAGCCCAGCCTCTGGTCTTGGGGAATTATATACCCGTGACCACCTGCCATGCCCCTGGGGTCCAACTAAGCTTTCTGATGAGCAAGCTCCCAGATGCCCTGGGGAATAGGAGGGAGGTCCCTGCAGCCCAAGGCTTCCAGCTGACGGACTGACCCCTCTGATGTGAAGCCCCTGCAAAGGGCTTGCCCATACCCTTGGCCAGGGTTGCTGAACAGAAGGGTCCCCTTCTCCCCAACCAAGAGGATCAAGTCTGTGTGGAGGCAGCCGGGTCGGGCCAGACCCCTCTCTGTGCCTTAGGTTAGCCATCCAGCTGAGTCCCTAACCCAGGCCTGGCCCCCCAGTTGTGGTCAGGCTGCCTACTAGTGTTGGGGTCTACCTGTAAAGCTCACTGTTTCTGAGCAGCCAGGGATATGGGTACAAGTGTAATTTGGATGTCAAAGAGAAGAGGTGAGGGGTGAAGGGCATGCCCCATTAGCTCTGGACCAGAGGCCTCCTTTAATTCACCCCTCCCTGTACCCCAGGACAGGTTGGTGAGGGGGCTGTGGGTTAGTTGTCACTGGCAACCAGGTCTGAGGTGGGAGGTAGAGGATTCTGGGGATGATCCATGTCCCCTCAAACTGGAACCAAGGACATCAGGCTGCCAAGGCCTGTGGGATAGTCAGCACTGAGGGTGCATCTCCCAGGGCGGGTAGAGGTGGTGGGGGCTCCTGGCAGGCAAGCCCGTCCCAGCTGGACCTTGCCCATGTGAACCCCCTCCTGGACCCAATGGGTGGGCGGAGTCCCAGGGGCCTCACACTGTCTCAGAACCCCTCATTTTGCAAGGAAACTGAGGCCCCGAAGGTTCACCACTGGCCGAGGCTGGTACCTCCTGCCCTGCCCACGCTCACCTGCCGACCCTCACTTCTCCAGACGCCATTGACAGTCTTGGTGGGGGCGATGGTCACCACAGGGGGCGTGCTGGGGACGCTGTGGCCCCCTGGGGGGACTATGATGGGGCCCATGGGCACACGTTTGGGTGTGCTGGCAGGGGAGCTGTGGTTGGTGGCTGGAGAGGACACGGGGGATGACTCGCTGCTCAGTGAGGACCCTGTAGGAGGAGAAGACAGCACGGTGAGTGTGAGGAATGAAGAACGAAGGAGGCTCTGTAGCTGGACATAATCTGCAAGTTCTAGTTCATTTACCAGTCTCCTTCCATAACATTCCAACCCAGAGGAGACCTTCACCCTAGCAGTTCTGTCCCGGCCCCAGAAACATGGTCTGACCTCTAACACCCATCAGGAACCGTGCCCTGGCCAGCCCCTTACAATGCCACACCACCCAGTGGGCCAAACCAGAGGTCACCGTGTGCGGCGGGTCTAGAGCCTACGAGTGAGGAGCACTCTGAGCAGAGCACCACAAGGTCACCAAGCAAGAGATACAGACAGGACAGCGCTCCACACTGCATTTCGGGCAAGTCAGCAGATGGTGTGGAGGTGGGAGCAGAGCTGTCCGGCTGGGACTGGCCCTGAGGCAGTCAGTGAACTGGCCACTCTGCACTCCCAAACAACACAATGAAGCAAAAGTCCCTGTTGTAAGGTTACGTGGGTATAGCCTCAGAGCCCACTATCGCTGTGCTATCCCGCTGTGTTACCCCTTGGCACAAGCACAAGGAAGCCCATGCCAGCAGTGGTCTCAGGACAAAGACCCTGCGCCAAGCATGGAGCCAGACGGCAGAGACACAGGTTGGTCTGATGACTCCAGAAAGTTCTGATCACCAGGGGTGGGGGGACCTGCTGTCAGACTCACTCATCTGGACACATAGGCTCTGTGCTTCCTGTATGTACGTTTCTACATTTTCATCAATTCCCTTTAAATTCTTCAGAAGTACGAACGAGGATCAAGATCTTACCCTTTAAAAAAAGTATTTCCACGGGGCAGGGCTTCATACCTTCACGAGGTTTTACAGTCGTTCCCCACCCCAAAGAAACCTTCATGTTAACTGTCACTCCCTAGAGTTGACTCCAAGTCTGCTGCTCCCACACAAACACTGAGCGCAGCATTGCCCAGGGAAACCACACCCTGACTCCAGACTGATGCAGATGGGTGAAGGGGCTGGGAGTAGCCTTTCCAAGCCCTCCATCTTACCAGGGGACCTTCTCCCCACCAGCTGCGACGTCTCTGAACCAGCTTCTTGTCTTGGTGCTGGTGGGTGCAGGGAAGGCAGGGGTGGACAGTGGGCTGACCTTCGCCGCATGCGTTATGTCTCAGGAGACCATCAGCAATTAGCCATCAACCCCTCAGAAGCAGGAAACCATTACTCAGCCGCGAGAGCAGTCATAATCAATACCCGACAACGAACCCTCCAATTAGCGGGGCGCACGCCTGGCTCCCGCACCCCTCTGGTCACCGAGGGGCGAGCAGGAAGGCCTGGTGATGGCTGTAATTAACTGGCGGCCTTCAGGCAGACTTATTCAATGAGGCTCATAGAGATGGGAGAAGACAGGAGCTGAACGCAGCCCTGTCACCTCTGCTGCCCAGCCTCAGAGGAGCACGCCAGGCCGCGGGCACATGATTAACAGCTGAGAATTGAAGACCAGGGAAGGGAGCAGGGGCAGAAATGAAGCCTCCAGACCACAATGGGTTCAGCTCCGAACAGCCCCTGAAGCCTCTGCCAACCGCAGTTAGGTATTACCTGGATGCTGTTAAAGATCCTGCTGGCATAGTGGATTAAGCATTGGACTGCTAACCAGAAAGTCGGCAGTTCAAACGCACCAGCTGCTCTGTGGGAGGAAGATGGCCAGTTCTGCTCTGGTTTACAGGGTTGCTATGACTTGGTTTGGGCCCTGAAGAGGCGGTCCTGGTGCCGTGTGACACGGGAGGCTGGCATGCTGCTGTAATGCGGAGCAGCTTTCCACTGAACTTTCAGACTACGATGGGCTAGGAAGAAAGACCGGGCAAACTACTACCAAAATTCAGACCGTGAAAACTGTGGCGGCATCGATCCGGGGCTGACCTGACGGCATGAAACAACAGCAGGTCCACCAGGAGCAGGTGGGGGTGAACAGGGCTCCACACCAGACACAAAGACATTCAAAACGGAGCAAGGACCTAAATGTGCCAACTAAAACCATAAAATCCTTAGAAGAGCAAACGGGCTATGCTGCCAACCCGAGTCTTCAGCAGTGGATTTTCCAACAGAATTCACAAAACAAGACTCCACAAATAAATGGGAGTTTGTAAAAATGAACATTTTAGAGAGACTTTACCAAAACAGGGAAGAGACAAGCTATTGACTAGAAGAGTATCTTCAGAAATCCTCTGATGAGAAGCCAATCATCAGTATCCATATGAACTCTGACAAGAGAAAATTAACTAACCCAGGAGCAAAATGGGCAAAGGACTTGAACAGAGACACAGCACTGAGGTGACGACTAAACACAAGGAAAGACACTCAGTGTCCTCAGGCATCAGAGATGGAGCCCTGGTGTGGCACTGCAGAATCATGCGCTGGACTGCGAGGTTGGTTTGAACCTCACTGTCAGCTGTTCAAGCTCACCAGCCACTCCTCAGAAATCCTATCTATACAGGGTCGCTGACTAGATAGCATTTAACAACAAGAGGATGGCTAAGATAAACAAAATTGACACAGTGATCCTGGATAGCGTTTCCCAAGGTACAGCTGGTGAGTTTGGACCACCGACCTTAGAGTTCAAGCCAATTTTGCGGTCCAGCGCATTAATCCACAGCGCCACGCCACACCAGAATAATCACTGACCAATCAATTCCACTCCTATCTGCCCCAAATTCTAAGTGGGAACCAACTTGACATCATCCAATAATAACACAAAGCCAAGCCAACCCAACCCCCACTCTATCTGAGGAGCTGGTTCACCAGGCTCCTAGACCACCGTGCAGGTCCCAGGCCTCGACAGGAGGCTTCTGCTAGGGACGCGGTCCCAGCTCCACCGGAAGTCCAAGAGGCAACAGGCACCATCGTGGGGGCATCCGTCCACTTCCCCAAGCCAACCCCATTCAGGACCAGGTGCCCTGGACAGTGCTCCATGGACCCCAGGGGGAGGTAGGGGGCAGGAGGCATGACAACGACGACACTCTCAAGTTCCTGAGTTCATGGGCCCCATACTCCACCCCTAGACACCCTCTGTCTCATGTGGGTGCCGAGCCATTGCTAGCACATTTTGTTCCTGGCCAGCGAACCTGGGGGAGACCGCCAGCCGCCTCCAGACACCACGAAGCAGCAGCTGGAGGCTCGGCCTGTGTCCTCCCCCCACGGATTTTCCTCCCCCAGGGATTTTCGTCCCTTACAGCCTTGCAGGAGCCCCCAGGCTTCCTGTACGCGGACGTGAGGAACATAAGAGACGTGGCTCCCCACCCAGCAAAGAGCAACTGGTAAGCAGGCAGGGGCGGGCCTCGGGGGCTAGTCCACGTCATTATGTAGAAGACCTCCCCATTGTGACCACCCTTCATGTCCCCACAGAGAGGACCCGGGCGGGAATCCAATTAGAAGGCCCTCCTGCCCACCCACCTGAGCAAATGCCCACCACTGAGCCGGAGCCCAGCAGACAGGTTCTGGACGCTGCAGCTGGGGTTCAGCAGAGACTGGAAACCTGAGGGGCCACAAGGCACGTGGCTCCTCTGGTAGTCAACAGCTGACTCAGACTGACCCCTGAGGCCCTGAGAAGATCCTGGGGGAAGGGGTGGACGTTTGTTCAAAGCCACAAAGCAATCAGGGCTCTGTTCCCAGCCCATGATCCTGGACACCCTGGCCGGGATGTCCCCCTACCGGGACCCCTGATGGCAGCTGCAGGAGCTGAGGAGGGTCAGACAAGGGGTCAGAGAAGCGCAGAAGCAAAGCAGAGGGTCCCAGGTCCTGGTGGGAGAGAAGCGGCAAGAGCCCGACAGGCCGCCTCCTGTTTGTGCGCGGCGCAGGCGGCTCCTCTTACCTCTCGGCTCCTCTGCCTGTTTGGCGAGCTTGCGCAGCGCGGCGGCAAAGCTGGAGGACGGCGCGGCCTGAACAGACAGGGCACTGCTGGTGGCGGGACTGCCGCCGGGCACCAGGGCGCCATTGAGCGGTGAGGGGGTGAGGGGGCTGACGGTGGCCGTGGTCCTGGTCGCCGTGGAAAGCATTCCTAGTGAAGGGGACTTGGGCTCATGGCTCATGCCTGAAACAGGAAAAGAAGAACTAGGTCACCCAGGGAGCACAGAGCGGGGACCAAAGCGAGCACAGGGGCATGCGGGGCGGGGTGACAGGCAGGAGCAGAGCAGGGTCAGCGATGTACAACCCCACAACCCCTCCTGGTCACAGAGGACCCCCAAAGCACAGCCCAGACCATCCTCACTGTCATCCAAAAGTGCCGTGGGAGGGGACTTTCTGTGACAAAAACAAGATCCCCCTGCCCAGCACCATCGAAACCGCCTTGTGAGGCTGCCTCCATGGTGCAGGAGAATGAGGTCAAATCTGCAAGGATCTGGACTCCCCCAGAGGATGCTCCCACTCAAGCCGGAGGACCCTCGACTTTGCCAGAACCTGCCCCTGCCCACACGCCGGGCACCCAATTCCTCATCCAGAGTCAGCCAGGCCATGAAAAGAAGTTTCCCATGAACATTCCGGCACTCTGGGAGGCCACCTGCCGGTCATGCTTGGGAAGTAAATCAAAGCTAGGACGGCTCAAGGTCCCTGTCACTGGCTGGGGCAACTGATCATGATAGGACGAGCATTTTCACTTCCAAACAGCTGGATCTAGAGGATGGGCCCCAGGGACTCCCAGGAGGGGCTCCAATGATGCTGAGTTCAGTACCTCCCTCCCTGTGGTATCCTATGTCAAATCCACACACACGTAAACGGAACTTGTCTCTACACTCCCCTGCAGGCTGGGAGGCTGACTTTGACTTGGCTGGGTGAACAGGGCTAGGAGGCCACAGGCTGGACCTGAGCCTCATCAGAGAGGAGGGGTGGTTGGGAACCAAAGGCCCAGAAAGTCTGGTACCTACTGCAACCTGGCCTTCCAGAGACACCCCCGGGGAGGACCAGCAACACCAACAAAGGTTGACCCCTGTGTGAGAGTTCTTGAAGAAGGTCTGGGAGGACAAAGTGGGGAAGGAAAAAGAGGACAGGAAGGGGCCCCCTCCCCTCCACATCCACTGAGCCCCAGAGAGAACTGCAAGATTCGGACAAACGTTCTCTTTGGTCCACGCTGCACCCTGCCATCCATCATGGAATGGAGGTCAAACTCAGCAGCTCAGCCTGCCTGTCCTGGACCCCTTTCCTGGGCTCAGCACCCTCCTCCTCTCTGTCCTGTGGACAGAGAGGTCACAGAGTGAGGAGTTAACGGTGGGCACGAGGACCCCATCTCGTGACTTTGTGACTTGGACTGTCTCGGGTCTGCTCATCTGAAATATGGGAACATGAAGATGTGCACGTCATGAGGAAAGCCCACTTCTGGAAGGAGACGACCCAGCCCTGCAGGCCCCTCCCCGGACCCCCAGAGAAGCTTGTTAGTGGTTGGTGAAGTTTGCTACTTAGGACACAACCCCACAGGAAGGACTGACCGGGGCGGGGTAATTCCTTCTGACCCATTTCCCCTCTGAAACATGGCTGGCACTTGGGCTGTGGGTCCATGGGCTTCTTTGGGGGGAGCTGCCTAGAGACACAAAGTGCCTTAGGGTGCAGCCTTCCCTCCTTCAGGGGAGAGGCTGCAAGATCGAGGTGGAGACTGGGCAGCCTGGTGGCCCAGATGAGGCATTCAGAGGACTGTCACCCAGAACCCTCCCCCAGACAACGAGAACAGTGCCTGTAAAAGTAGCCCTCAGAGACCATACAGAGTCCGTGAGGGGCTCGGCAAGTTGAGCAGTGGATGGAGATCTTAAGCGTCTGGAACTGAGCCAAGTTTCCTGGGCCCAAATCAAGCACCCTTACCACCCAGCCAGCCTAAGACCTTTCTGTAATGTCCCATTAAAAGGCAAAATAAACCAAATACACAAGACAAATGCAGTCCTTTAGCCTGGTACACGTTCCGACAAACCCCTCCTCCCTCCCACAGGTGGCGCCCTTGAGCAGGAACCAGACTCAGGACTGGCCCCTCAAGTTCCACAAGCTCCCAGCTGCCATACAGTTTCAAAGAGTGGAGCCCCCCAGCCAGCAGCAGAGGGGGGCAGCCTCCAGCCTCAGGCAAGCCTTCAGATGGTAACCTCCGGAGAAACTTGGAACCAGAACAGCCCAGCTAAGCTGCTCCCGAACTCTTGGCCCACAGAAGCTACACGATTATAATAAATGTTTTTAAGACAAGAAGTTGGGAACCATTGGCTGTGTAAGCTCACGTATGTGAGAGTGTCACTCACCAACATGCTACACTCATCAATACCACCCTGTGATCTATGTCCCATTCAGAAGCCCAACAGAACCAAACTCTGCAAATAACATACCATGTCCACACCCACAGCACATCTCTAGGATGTGTCCCCTTGGAGGCCACCCGAGACCAAACCCAACCTCTTCCTCAACACCATTGTTGTTAACTGCTGTGTAATCAGTTCCAACTCAGCAACCCTGGCTAGGGTTTCCAAGGAGCAGCTAGCGAACCTGAACTGCTCCAGACCTTGCGGTTCGGACCAACATTGCAGTCCAGCGCATTAACTAGCAGTGCCACACCGGGAGTCCTTCTCAGCACCACACTCCGCTCTTAAATCCCAGCAACTCTGAGAATGCCAAGATGGTACCCATTTCACAGAGAACACAGTCTGCGGAGGAAATGACAGGATCCAATGGCCAACAGAAGGTCCCCAGCGGGGCCTGGGTCCACTTTACAAATGCTGGCCAGGCCCAGATCAGGACCCACAGCCCAGACTGCAATTAGACGGAGGTTGGAAGCCCAGTTACCAGAGTCACTGCCCGATGACCTCCAAGGCAGACAGACCAGCTACGGCCTCACAACAGTCCCGACCTCACCTGGCACCATGACACCACACGGTGACCCCACATCAAGCCAGACACACCCCGAAACCCCAATGATGTCTTTGGTGAGCATCGAGGGCCAATTTTCGCTCATTCTTTTTTCTAAAATTTCTGCAGTGATTGATGAGGACATGCATTTGCATGAACTCCAACCCCCAGATCACGGGTTTTTATCTGGGTAAAAGATAGGGGGGAGTTGGCAGCCTCTATGCACACCCCCCCCCCCATCATGCTGTCGGGTTTCCTTGACACTAGTCCCAGGGCTGGGCCTCTGTCCACCCCCAAGACATGGCCTGGCACGGCTCCCTGGGGTCCCCCCAGCCTGCAGCCCCACTGCCACAGTGGGTATCAGCCGCAGGCTCTGGAGCTGCCAGCCGGGAAAGCTGCTCTGCTGAAGTCAGGGCCCTAAAATAGAATTTCAAACGAGCAGCTTCATTAGGCGGAGTCTAAAATTAGGATTTCTCCTCAGCGTGTGTGCGCCAAAGGGTGGCCGAGGGGGAGGCAGGGACCACCGCCACCCTCAGAGGGACCACCTCCTGCACAGGACACATCCAAGGGGATCCAGGAGGCCCCCAAACGGCCTCCCACAGAGCTTCCCTCTGGGGCTGCCAAGTCTCAGGGTAAGGCCCAAGTTCCACGGGTGAGCGCAGGTCTCCCCCTTCAGATGCCCCAGTGGGTCCCAGCGAGTGGGCGGGCCTGCAGGTACCCTCGGGAGCCCCCTGCCCTCATTAGAGAGGTGTTTATTAACTCCTGCCCCTGGCCACTGGCTGGATTCTTGTCTGCATTACCATCTCATGTAAATTCATTATCCCAACAGCTGGGAATAAGCTCCCAGGCCTGAAGTGATGGATGAGGGCTAGGGGCCAGCCAGGGGGGCTCCACAGGAACACACTCGCAACACACATGCGGTTCCACTGCAAGCAGCCCCCCTCCCCCCCAGCCAAATCTCCATAGCTGCTACTCATTGCCTTCCAGACAGATGTCTTCTGGCCATCCTCGGCCACCACATCCAATTACCAGGAGCACCCTTCACACCCTGGCCAGGACCCCTCTCAACAAGCCTCAGCGTAGTGTCCCCTGGGCCCCACATGGCTGATGAAGCAGGAAACAGAACAGCCTGCCCCCCGCGCTTTACAGTGAGCAAGGAGCGTCACCTTCAGCCACAAAACTGCGCCTCTCTTGACTCTTCATTCAACGCATTCATCAATACTGGTTTATTCTTTTCTGTCTGGGTCAAATACCGTCTGCACAAACGTATTTAAAGATCCAGGTGCAGAGGGGATCAGAACATGCAGTGTTTGGAATTTTCTGGAAACTCACCTGGTTCTTCAGGACAAGCCCCAAATGGGTTTGCCTGATCTCCCAATGCTTCCACTAGTGGGACTTAGCAAGAGGGACCAGCTCAAATGCTCTATTAAATACAGTAAATCTCCCTGCCTTCCCTGCCTCACTGGTTCAGGGAGGGTGGGCGGGGTGTTATTAATCAGCCGCCCTCCGGCCCCCCCACAGATCCCATAATTATGGCTTCCTCTCATCCCGGCTCCAGACCTCAGGCCTGCTGCCTCCAAGCTCCGTAATTATGAGCTAATAGCTGGGCTGAATTTTCTTCTGGGGCTTTGCTCAAGAACCAATCCGCCCCTGCCCCTGACAGCAACCCCTGGGGTAATCACACCCCTCGGAGGCCCGGCCCAGCGGGGCACCCCTTTCAGCCCCAGTGCACAATCTGGACCAGGATTCTCTAATCACCCCTCTTGGTAATTTTTCATTACCACAGAAAGAAATGTTTGTGAACAAATAAACCCCCCCCCCCCCAATGCTTCTCTGAAGAGGGGCCACTCTGCAGCCCTGCGGAGCTGGGGTCACCCAAGGCAGACCAAGTGGCATAGGTACCACTGACCTGGAGGCGGAGCCCAGGGTTTGACCCGTCCTTCTGATTGCTCTGCAAGAAGCCATTGTTCTGCAGCTGGGTGCGGGGAGACCTTCCGTCCCACGTCCCACACAGAATGGTCTGCTTATGCCTCCATTTCTTCAAATACACAACCAGAGAGGCTGGGAGAAGCTGAGGGAGGAAGGGGGAGCCCTTGCATGAAACCTCATACAGCCGACCCGCCACTCCACACCACCGCTGGCATCTGCATATACCTCCTGTAGAACCAAACAGGAATCTAGCCCACCTTCAAAACGATTCTGAGAACACACAGCACCCACC